TAAACTATAATTTACGAGCGGAATTTTTTTTTAAGCTTCTTTTTAACTTAACATTTATCTTAGCTTGCATATTAGCTATTAGTTTCTCGAGTCTTCGATTAAATCCGACTTGTTTTTTGCAATAATAATTTATCTTTAAGTAAATCGATTATAATTTAAAAAAAAAGCTTTTATTGTATTATTATCGAAGTAAAAAAAAAGAGAATTAAGATTTTAAAAAGAAAAGCATGCTTCAAATAACTTCGTAATTGCTATTATTAATAATAAAGAAATCGGCGTAATTAATGATCTCGTTAATAATAACTTCGACGTCGTTTATTTACTTATCGAAGTTGTAAAGATCTTCGAATACGGTTATATAAATCAAAGCTCGATCCGTTATAATAAGTAATTTAGCTATCTTAGCCACCTTTTTATTTATTATATGAACTTTAGATTTATTATCGAAAAAGGATTTGCTTTTAATTATACCGTCGATATTAATAAAAACTTTTAAGGTTTTCATCGCTACTTCGAAGCAATTGCGAGCGATAAGTTATTTGCGAATTTGCGTCGTTAAGAGATTTAGTTTGCTTTTTTTATTTCGACTTAAACGTTTAATAATTAAAGCGTTTATAAAAATAAGCTTACTTTAAAAGACCTTTACGTTTTCTTTAGCATCGGGAACTATTAAAATATAATAGTTTAATAGCTTGTCGAAGCGAAAGCTAAGTTCGAATAGATCTTTAATTTAAACTTCGATTCTCGATTTTATAATCGCCGCTATTGCTTTTTTTTAAGCTTTAATAATAACGTAAAAGTTAATAAACTTTTCTCGTTTGTAAGTCTTTTTTTTTCTTTTTTCTTAGCACTCGCTAAGTGATTTCAACTTTTTTTTTTATATTTTTTATAGCTTCGTCGGCTTCAATTGGTTTAAAAGACTTTTCTTTAATTATTTCATCGAACAACCTATCTTTTAAGTTTATCTTAACGGTAGTATTCGATTTTTAAAAAGCACGGGCTTTAAGAATGCCGTAGTTCTTTTATTTTTATTATCGGATATTTTTTTTAATTTTAATAAGCTTAGATCTTTTCGAAAGCGGGAAAAGCTTTTTGGCTTTGTCTTTTGCGATAGCGTTGATCTCGACCGAGGCGACTTTTATGCTAGATAAGTAGCTAAGCGTATTAATCTATTTTATAATATTAATATTTTTAATATCGATTGGTCTTTTAAAAATAATAATAAGCTTACTTACCTAATTGATTGGTCGCTAAGCATTTTAATTTAGCTAATATTAAGCTGGCTATTAGATTGGTTATTAATAAAAGAGTAGGTATTTATAAGTCTTAGGTCCGTTAATAAGTCGATTTTTTAAAATATTATCGTATTCCGTTTTACGAACGTTTAGCACGATAAATCTAAACCAAGTCTTTCCTTGCTTCTTTTAGATAATAAAAGCATCGATTCTTTCAAGTTTTAAGTAAAGGCGTTCGTAATTATTAATATGAATGCATTTTTTATTAATTATGTTTTTAAAGGCTTTACATGTTACGGCTGTCGAAGGCAGTATGATTGTAGTGCTATTTAAAAGTACGCTTGGTAATAAGAAAGAAAGATAAAAAAGGAAAGGAAGAGAACGAATGCAAAAAAAGAGGTCTTGTAAGCTGTTTTGCTAAGACGGGAGCTTAAAGTCACGAGGTAACGTATGACCTTAAGCGCGTAGCAACGTGATTTCCGCGTGACCGCTATTATTACCGTAACATTACTTTTTTTTTCCGAAAAATTGCGTCTTCGCAGTTTGTATTATTAGTTTGTCGTCTTTAAGGTCATTATAATCATCTCGTCTTTAATTATAAGCCTTTAGCTATAATAGTAGTGCTTTCGGCGGCCCTTTTGCTATTAGGTGCGCTAAGTAGAATCTTTTAAGCATTTGAAGTGCTATTATCGCGTCCGAGCACGGGTATTATTCGAGGTCTTCGTTTGCTCTAACTTATTGTATTCGGTATTAAAGTGCTTTTTTATATATACGAAAAGCTAATACTTATTCGATTTTTTATTCGTTTTAGTTAAGTAGTATTTGAATTAGCGCTAGCTGAGGTCTTACTTAGCTTAGCAATAGGTTTATAATATGCTTTCGTAATGAATAGAAATAAAATATAAGATGAATCTTTTAAGTTGGTAGTAGTTTGACTTTTTAACTTTTTCTTACTTTTTTAATAACTTTGATTAGCTTATATTATTTATTTTCGAGCTTTCTAGAAAGTCGGTCTATTTTCTAGTTCTTTATATCGATTATCATATCGTCTTCGACGTCTTAGTTTATTAGACGGCGTTTAGCGTTAATTAGCTTTTCTATCTTAGCTTATTGATTTGCAATCGAAGATTAAGCGAACTCGATAGTACTTCGAGCTTTAGTAGCTATACTATATGCCTTTTGTTAATTCAATCGCTTTATAGCCGAAAAAAAGGGGCTCGGATTAATTATATCTTAAAAGCAGCGCGCTTGATATTTATTTTTAACTTCGAAAAAAGACAGCTTACTTAATGACTTATAAAGCAAAGTCAATTGGGCGATATCTATTGTGGTGGAGTTGCGGCTCTATATTTGTTTTGTCCATGTATATAGTACTGATGCTAGGCACCTTTATTACGTGGGTACGCTGCATGCTCTAGCCCTGCTAAGCACGTAGCTAGGTCACGTGCAGGCTCTTATATAAACGAATAGTTGGTTCTTCCTTGAACCAGCACCATATCACATATAATTGTCACCTACGGTGACCCAAGATAAATTCCAGTAGTTATGGTGGTGGTTAGTCATCCAGTCACGTAAGACTATTCTATACGGATCTGGCAAGATTTCTGAGCGTGCCAAGACTTTTATTCTATATCAATCTATTGAACTTTTTTCGGAACGAGTCGGCCCGTTTAATTCATGTACAATAGCTAAGCTTAATTCAGCCACCGCCATTAATTCTGCCATACGTAACGCACGTAAGGCTGCTACACGTAAGGCAGCTAGGCTGCCACCCGTAACCTACGTAAGGCTGCCACACGTACCTTAAAGGCAGATAAGGGGTTATTTAAACCGTCAGCTGACAATCCGATGACGGTCTCTTTAAAAGACGATTCCAAAAGGTTGGCATAGCTAGTGGATCACTTTAGGCCGATACTTAAAATTGAATAGAATCTGAAAACAAACGATTTAAATTATTTAAATCGTAGCTAAAATAAAACTATTTCAATCGATTGAATCGTTTTTTATAAGAGCTCGTCTTTTCGTGAAAAGATTATTACTAAAATAAGACGGTTTTAATCGATTAAATAATCGTTTATAAAAGTCGGTCTTTTTATAAAAATACCGTTTTAAGACCGTCTTGTGGCCGTCCTAAGGCCGTCTTAAGGCCGTCCCCGAACTTGAAACCGTCTCGGAAAACGTTGATTAATAAGCAATTTTTTTTTTTTTTCAATTACTTAGCAGTCTACCTTCTGCTAGGTATACTACCCCCTTATCACCAAACCCCCTCCCCCCCCCTCAAGTGCTATCAGGGCGCATCTACGCGGGTGAACTTTTATTAAATCGATCGATTTCGATTATTAAAAATTTAAAGCGTTGATATATAAGCCGTAGCAGCGATACCGAGAAATATCTTGGCATCGAATTTATTAAATTATTACTAAAACGATTCCATTTAAGAAATGGTTTTTATTTACAACTATATCTTGTTTGAAACAGTTATCGAATTATTTCAATTTTTTAAAACGAGCTTATTAGTAAGCCTATTTTAAAAATATAGACGGGGACGGCTATAGGACGGCCTTGGGACGGTCCTAAGCTCGGGGACGATCAAAAAGGTGAACTATTCTTGATTTGTAACTAGTACTGATTTTAAACGGTCCAATAATCGTCTTTTATAAAAGAGGGTCAGAGGACCGCTCAAATGACCCCTTACCTGCCTTTAAGGTATGTAAAGGCCTCGGAAGGCACTTGCACTGCAAAAGGCCACCACAGGATAATAGTCAGTGCACTGACTCTGTAACCTGCGGGCTCTCGGTCATACCTTAGTCAAGGCAAGCAAGCATCCCAGGTCAAGCAAGTGTCTCATTTCAATTATTTCAACTTGTATTGGAAATAACTTAGCAACGAATCATGCTATAATATTAAAAACTAAATTCATAGATCGGCGTAATCGAGATCTCTAAAAGTCTAACCAAGTATGAAATCTTTTTATTAACAATTTGATAATTAATAAAGTAAATAATACTTGATTATCAATTGAATTTGATTGGAAATCAAATATTTTACATTGAAAATTTTATATTTTTCAATATCAATCGTATATTATACTGAATTTTAATATAAAAGTCTAATATTTAGAAAACTCTTAATCAAGCGGACTCGTGTCATTTGTTTTTATTATTATAGCTTTTATAATTATTATTTTATTTAAGTTATAAATTTAATCGAGAAGTTGATGTTCTTGAATTTTCGCTAAATTGTCCGAGCTTTTTTCGCTTTTACAATGGTAATTTCAGAAGACGAGATTGCAATGTCAAAAATAGTTAGGTAAGCGTAAATTTGACTTTATACTTGGCAGTAGTATATGTCCCGAAATAATGTACAAACGCTGTCTGAGCCCAATTCTAGAGGTTTCCGTTGACCAGGCTTTTGTGCAATGGGTACCACCAATGATATAACGATAACAATTCAAACAGCATTGCTAAGTATCTAGGTAGTATGCACAGACTAGAATTGTACATTATTTACCCATAGTACGAAGTATTTAAGCTGATCTTCGATATAATAATACGTAAAAAGGCAAATATATTATTAGCCGCAGGATTAGTTATAAGCGACGAAGAAATCCTAAAGATGGTTGCTAATATTAGTAAAACGAATATGGTATAGGATGGAATCAATCAAAGAGATATATTCCTCTTACTGCACTTACTTATCTTAAGTTCAATTCATTGTCCTTTTCCTTTGGAAGACTCAAAACTACTTCGGATATTTACAAATACGATGCCATTATCGACGTCCAATTGCGCAATCTTGCTAGCCTTAAATCTTCTCTTTAATAGAGCTCAAGGAATAGAAAGAGAAATCATCGGCTATCGATCAGTTGGCGATGTAAGTTTTGCTTGATTTAATCGTCGGTTACCGACGATTCTGTAGCATTTATATTAATTACGCGAATTATAGGAAGAAGCCAACTTGATTAATTCTTCTCATAAGCCGTATAGAGACAGAAAATACGATGAGAACGGTGAATACCTTCGTCAAATAGGAAGTGGCTTTTATATGAGTAAGTCGATTTATGCTTATAGATCGTCACTTATTTATTACGCGAAGCTAATACTTAGAAAGCAAATGAGCCTGCTTTCTGGAAATATTCGTATAATCATTGTGTTATCAAAGCGGATAGTGATAAGATTGAAAATGCGGATAAAATATACATCCCAAAAGATTATCACAAATTGACTTCAACTGGTAAGATTGAAGAAAATTACTTATGGAATGGAGACGAAAAACTCCTCTCGGAATTTATCGAAAAGATGATCTTAGACCCCGAGAAGACGCTACGATTTTCATGGATCTTACATCACGGTCCTCATTTGCAAATGGTTATTCCAACTGATGTATTGAATAACGATGATCTAGATTTATGGGCTGAATGCTTTGAATCAGAGAAGGAGCTACTGGAATATTCGAGCAAAATTATCGATTGGGACAGTTGGAATATTATTGGAGATCCTGGATTACCGAGCAACTAATAGAATCCGGCTGATGGAAATGCCAAGCTTGTAAGTCTAGCAGCTAGCCTTTGCGACTGTTCATCGTCAGAATAATATCACCAGGACTGAGATCATGGCGTAGTGAGGTAGGTAGGTCTTTTTTCAGAGCCCTTTCCAAAAAGCCGAGAATTCCGAGGTCGAACATCCTCAAACATGCTTCCATGCAGCGCGATATCTTCGATCCTGACCCAGGCACTGCTTGACGGGAATTCGGGACCTCTTCCGCTCTAGAACCTCAGTGTATAAGATTGGTAGGTTTGGGCTTTTATTCCTTTCCTCCGGTCTGGAAAAAGTCTATTAATCCTGGCGGCTTATAAGCTGACATTGCCAGACAGGTTTCGGATTCATCTCGTCGTGTATCACTCAACTTCGCTTAAACACAACAACTCGCGAGTTGTTTTCCCCCTCCCCCATAAAAAATTGGAAATGGAAAAAAAGAACAACCAAAAAAGAATTCCAAAAAGTTCGGCCCGGTGTCGATATGCCTACATCTTTTGTCGAGTTCGAATTCCGCCGTCAATCGTCGTATGTGGTTCGGTGCATCTAAACCACTCGGCCCCAAATCGTTACAAGTTGTTGATCCCCCCGCCAGATTGACCTGACAAGTACACCATTGTACCTGCGCCACTGGTTGAAATACGTCCGCGATATCTTGTTATATGAAGGAGCTCAGAATTTTTCCCTCTCGCCTCCAGCCCGCGGTTAAGGAGCCATACCACCGTAAGAACTCCAGAACCACGACGACTGGTCATTGAGGGATTCGTGCAGTACAAAATTGAATTTATACATATAAATATATATTCGTAGGCAAGAAGACGAGAACAGAAGACGGATTCACCGATTCCGGAAATAGTGAGCTTAGTATAATTATCTTAAGTGGCTCGGATGTATACACCTACGAAGAATGGCAGCCTGGTCGCGCCTTGAGACTGACGTGCAAAATAAATTCTGATATTGAGCCTATTTCATTGCTGCTGAATGCAGAGAATCTATACAGACGGTCAGGACTCGCATCACCGTGGTCATGAGCTTAGCTTTAGGCCTTATTGCAAGATATATATATGTATGTGTGTATATTTTGGATAAGTTTGAACTTCGGGCAAGATAGATAGATGTAGCCGTTATGGACCACAGAAGATAAGGTGAGCCATTCACTGGATCTCCACTTGCCAAAAATGTGATATTTGGGTGATTTTCTGATGTTCAACTTGAGCCACAGCTTGCCAAACCGGGGCAGCTAGAGGAGGATGGAAGTGTACCGAAAGGTGGAACGGAGGTGTAGTGTTAGCGAGAGAGCTGGGTATTTTGTCGAGATGTGAAGGTGATATCGAGAAATAATGGGACTTCTCACGAGTGGATGATGGGTCAATAGCGGCATATTGCCGCTATTTCGGTGTCTCCTGGGAATTTTGAGATAGGAGATCGACCAAGAGGCCTGGATTTGTATCCAGTGATGCGAATTTCCTTCAACGTCACATTCTGTTCATAATCCCAGTACGGTCGGGAGGGAGCCTTGGAAATGGAATATCTCTAGATGAGTAGGGTACTTATACAACAAGCCCAAACGCCTTTTGATAATGCGTATCAACCGTTCCGTCCAAACGCCAAACTTCAATTTCTCTTGCATAAGTCATCTCAATCGCTCGAGCTCTGATTCTGATAATACTGCGTATGAACGCATCAGCAAAAGGCCCATGCATCAGCGCCCGAATGGCGTCTCCAACTTACGTCTCCCATGTCCGCAGCCAGCTTCGCATTGCCCCCAAATTCCCTCATCCTTGCCGGGAACTTCCAGTTATTTGTTCTGTACCACCAGCGACGGAATTTTGACCCTACAGAGCTACCACTGAGTTGCGCAGTGCGGTTCCAGTATCGCCACCCTTGGAGAGCAAGAGACCAGACCATGCCTTGGACAAGCGGGAGAACAAGCTATCGAGACATACATCAGCTTGAGGTTCATCCACTGGAGCACCTTTCTGTGGAGCTTGATGTCGTACCTGATCTCTGAAAGTGATGAATGCCACACTCCAGTTACTCTCCGCATTCCTAATGCTAGACAAATAGCTCTGCTCGAACCTCAAATCAGGTAACGGGGGAAAGCTTTGCCGCCGAGGCAATGGTTTCAGCACACTGTATGGAATATCCTCTTCTCCATCTGCTTCAACTTCGGAGCCATCGACGCCGTCGGAGTCGTAGGCGTATCCGTCGAGAGAGGGGTCGGGGTGCTCAAGAGTGACGGGGAGCTTTTGTGAGACAGCTGTTGACGGATTGAGGTCGTGAGAGGGCGATGGGGCGCGGTTTATGGACGCAGTTTGGATGGTAGATGCTATTTCCATGGGAAGTGAAGACGACATCTTGCTGTGGGCTTGTTGTGCTGTAGCTTGTTGTGAGCGTGAAAGCCGAGAGCTTGGACGAGGTTGAGCTTGAGCGCACTCCATCAGCGAGAGTAAGCCGAGGAACCGCCGATCCGACTTGAATTGTTTGCTGTCGGTACACCAACACGGAGCAATTAACCGTGGAGCAATCAACAATGCAACCATTCCGGCTCTTATGCTGCAGTGAGGACCTGCTGGAGCCTGTCACCATTCATGACTACGTGTATCGGACCATGATCTAGATGCAGACCAGATCCTGTAGTTTCTGGTCATGCAGGCTTCGAAAGGATCAAAAGGGGGACTGGTCGTTGACATTCCAGAGAGCCTCTCCTAGGTGCATATGGAGGAGTTCTGATAAGGACTGCTTCAAGTCGATTTTCTCTTTCGTACGACGATCCCAAATCCCAACCTCTATAAGGTATTGCTCATATCATTACCAGCTTCAAGGCCAACCCCTTATCTAGCGAATTTCTCGACCGTGGAGTATTATGCCTGTTCAATGAGAAAACGCATCTCTGGTCACTCCTTATCTTTCACCGAGCGCCAGACAACTTTCCTTCTAAAGGTCAGATGGAGAGAGCATAGGACAGCCCGTGACTCGAGACACAAATTGAGCCTCGGGTGTGACTGTAGTTCCATTAAATTTGCAGAAACGCATGACGCCCTTACGAAATCCCCGATCCCATTCTACCTATGTCTCGTTCGGCATTGTTCCGGTGCTGCTGGATGGGTTGGCTACTCAAGCTATCATCTCCTGCTGTGAGCGCTTGGCACTTGCGTGAGAGACATGCAAGCTGCAATATAGACCTGTTGAATGGTTGGAGTGAAGGCCGCTCATTCTGGTACATCACGGACTTACGCATGCTTATTATGCCGTTCTGCTGAGCACAACCTGTTCTCATCACAGCTTATGTGGATGATGCTGTCCTCGCGACAAAGCGCTTCCAGGAAGGTCCGATGTACCCCTCTGTTCAGATCTTTCCGCTAATCTCCCGTAGGCTAGAGACGGCGACCTTAGATTATAGTTTGGGTCTTGCATTACAGTTTGTGTCATGCTCAGCGGCATTTTCGCTCATTCGGTGGATCGAATTCTGGTAGGAGAATAGATTGACGGTGCGACGTCCCTCTGGAGCTCCGGAAAAGAGTGTGGTCTATTTGTCCGCCTGCTTACCCTTTCAATGCTACCAAGCCAGTATATTTCTCTGGATCAAGAGTGTATGAAAGGTAAATGCTGTTGCAACATGTTGATCATTGTACTGCGTCGCTAATCCTGAATTTTCAGAACCTTTCCGTCCACATTCAACTACAGAGCCCCGAATCAACAACGCTTCACAAACTGATTTCTATCACCAGCCTTCTATAATAAATAGACCCCTTCTACTTACTTCCACTCCATCCACTCTCAACTTTACCCCGCCAATCTGCAGCATAGGAATGTATTCCACATGGGATCTCACAGCTCGAAAAGCTCTCGTGGGACCCACGGCTGTAAGTAGTAAAGATCGCATGCTTCAGACTGAGATTCACGGCCCATGTTTGCTTGGTACTTGGATCACTGACGTCTGTGCAAACTCGTACGGGTGCTTTTGCATTCAATGTGACACCCGCAGATCCACTGGCAAGAACTCTGTACCCTGAAGAAGTGACGGAGCTGAAAGAAAGCTTTGGATATTAGCTGCTACCCTATACTCAGCTTTTGGGCCGATGAACATTAAATCTAAAGTAGGTGTAAGAAGATATATATATATATATATATATATATATATATATATATATTATATTGTTCATAGTGCATTTCGAAAATCGCTATATGTTAGTAGGTATCGTCCTCGAACGTATTTACATTTGCCGTTTTAAATCGAAATTGCTTTCACTCTTGATAATCGAAAATCCTTTTATTCGCATGCTCTTGAGACGAATTCTATCCGATATTATATCCATTTGACTAATACTAGCAACCGTTTTCAGACTTTGTATTCGTGCGGCCAGCATATCTATCCCCATGTCGAAAATCGTCTCAGATACTTATGGAGTCAAAGTTACGAAATTTACGCAGAAATTTCGGTTACCTTGAATTTAATATCAAAAACAGGCCGACCTGCCGTGAGACGGTCGTTTTTGGATCCCTGAACTTTGAAGCTGCAGGTCGACGACTTGAAGAATCAAAAGGAGGCCCACCTAAGCGAGCCGACGATTATATGCATGCATGCATGCATGCTTGCATGAAACAAGATAATCGACCTCGCCTCCTGCTCCGTACCGAATGCTTCAACGGGCGTTACTCTACCTATACTTCAACTGTTCTTTATCCACGTTTGCTACAGTACAGGGCAACGACTCGAGCCTCATGGAGATTTACGCTTCTTCGTGTTGCTCATGTGCATGTGCAGTAGAAGACTGCCGTGATTGCATTTACATGCCGTAAGGATCTTCGAGAGAATCTTATCGCTCAGCACCCTCCTCTCGGGCGTCAATCCGATGGCGCTCTTGCATATCATCCAGGCGTGTTCCGAGTGTCCTCTGCTATGAAAGCTTCCGCTTGGTCTGGTTGGCAATTCCGGTAATTGCTAGAAGTACAGTATAGCTATGGCCAGGTTTCTTTTCTCTAAAGCGCATGGCTTTGTATGACCAGAGGACAGCACTAACTAATGCAGTCAGTCGATCAGGAGCACAGGAAACACCGGTGCTCCCGCACTTTTCGTAAGGCTCTTGTCTCGGACTCTGATCTCTCGACGTTCCCGGTTCGATAGATGAATGATAGACGGGTAATCTACAATGCACCTCCATGCGGATATCTGCAATATCCTCACTCACCAATTGGCTCTCCGCCCCTTGCTCCTACTGACGCAGAGGAGCTCGACTCTTGACTGGCACATGCCATCCAGATGCAGATGTCACACTTAATGCGGCACTGCCATGCGTCGCGGCGGTTCCTAATATATCAAATTGTCCTCAGTTCATCAGTTCATCCCAACACATCGATACCCTCCAATTCTCTTGGCCTTCAGTCACTACTCCTCCCCACCTCTGACTTATTTCTCCCGATGCTATCGCCTCGTTTACGTGTGTTGACATTAAGCGGAGTACTGCCAACGCAAACTTATCCGGTTTTACGGCGCAAACAAACTCAACGGTTTGGAAGACACCGTCAACACTGGGAGACCCATCTCTGTGAGAAACGAGAAAGGCGTGTTTAGGGCTTGGAATTTAAAGAATATTGGAGCATTTGCTGGCAGTTCTTGGAGAATTAAAGGGGGGATGAAGATGGTGTGACGACTTACGACTTAACCATATAACGACCTGACCGATCTGGTGCCTTCTCAGATCGCATTGATTCTTGTTTCCTCTATAATCTATACAATTTACAACTGCCTATTCGAGCATCATGGGTTGGGTTTGTTTAAGTCAAGATATATATTCGAGGTCAATGCTAATGCCTTTCAGGTTGAAAAGACGAATATGGCCGTGGCCAGGGGTCCCGTGGGACGGCACTTCAGAGTAGAGTTCTCCGGGCATCCCCATGAGAGGAAAGGGTCGAGATTCATTACAGAGATCAGGGCGGGTCTTGCTACCTTCTTTGCAATGGCATACATCATCTCCGTCAACGCTTCCATAGTTGCTGGCAAGTCGTCGCCGCCTCCTCTTACCCTACACTGGTGCTGACTCCATAATAGCAAGTGGAGGAACTTGTGTTTGCATGCCCAGCGAGGACTATCCTACTGATAACCACTGTAACAATATCGACAACCCATCGACCCCTGCTTACAATAGTTGTAAACAAGAGATTAATCGGGACATGGTGACGGCTACAGCAGCAATTTCGTCCTTGACCAGCTTCTGTATGGGATTCTTCGCAAACATGCCTATCGCTCTGGCCCCTGGAATGGGACTGAATGCCTATTTCACCTACCAAGTTGTTGGTCCCAATGGATCGGGCGTCATCCCTTATCGATTAGCTCTGACTGCTGTTTTTGTGGAAGGCCTCATCTTTGTCCTTCTGTCGGTATTCGGACTCAGACAATGGCTGGCCCGGACGATTCCACGAAGTTTGAAGATTGCGAGTGGTGCTGGGATCGGGCTATACATCGCTCTCATCGGCTTGACCTACGGTTCTGGGATCGGCGCTATTACCGGTGGAGCCAGTACCAGTGAGCCTATATCTCTGGCTGGATGTGTCCCCGAACTCCTGGACAGCGAGACCGGAGTTTGTACAGGCCATAAGATGCGCAACCCTACATTGTGGGTTAGTATCTTCTGCGGGGGAATCTTCACCGCATTCTTGATGATGTACAGGGTAAAAGGAGCTATCATCGCTGGTATCCTGCTCGTGTCCATCATCTCATGGCCTCGCGGTACCCCGGTCACATTCTTCCCAGATACCCCAAATGGCGATTCTTCTTTTGAGTTCTTCAAGAAGGTTGTTACGTTCCACCCTATCAAACATGTTTTAGTCGCCCAAGACTGGAACATTGGTGGACCACACACAGGCCAGTTCTTCATCGCTCTCGCTACCTTTCTATATGTCGATGTCTTGGACTGTACCGGAACACTCTACTCTATGGCACGGTTCTGCGGGGCCATGGACGAAGATACTCAGGACTTCGAAGGCAGTGCCGTCGCTTACCTCATCGACGCCATTGGTATTAGCATAGGATCTCTTCTCGGATGTCCTCCGGTGACAGCCTTCATCGAATCTGGAGCCGGTATATCAGAAGGTGGCACAACAGGTATCACCGCCTGTACGACCGGCCTATGCTTTTTTGTATCCCTATTCTTCGCTCCTATATTCGCCAGTATTCCACCTTGGGCAACAGGATGTACGCTTATACTTGTCGGCGCAATGATGGCCCGCGCCTGTACTGATATCAACTGGCGCTATATCGGTGACTCTATCCCGGCGTTTTTAACAATAGCGCTGATGCCTTTCACATATTCCATCGCCTACGGTCTCATTGTTGGCATAGTCACCTACACAATTTTGAACACAGGCGCTTGGCTCATTGCGCAGGCCTCATGCGGCCGTATCATCCCCCACGATCACGAACACAAGGACTACTGGACTTACAAAGTACGTGGTGGACTCCTACCAGGATGGATGAGGCGAGTGGCGAGGGGGAAGAAGGATTTTTGGCGTGATTGGGATTTCGACACTGAGGAGTTGACGGGCGCAGACTCATATGTGATGGCTAGGAAAGTAGATAGAGACAGTGGCGGAAGTGCGATGACGGTGCAAGTTGGACCATCGGATCAGCCGGTGCCGGTATCGGTGGCTGGCATTATCACAGGGCTTACAGGGGATCTGAGTTGGGAGCAGCCGAGAGCTGGGTATTCAATGCCAATGGCGGTAGGGAGTAATGCTGATTTGAGGGCCCAGGCCGGATCACCTTTGAGAAGGTGACGCGTGAATAACGGAACTGGCTCGAGATAGAATAGAGGGCGTTTGTACCAGTATAATACGCACAGCCGTGATATCTGGCAGGATATAAAGAATAGTAAATACCAAAAACGGCAGGGTTATGTCTATACGATTCAAGAACCGTTGGGCTTCATTATTTCCCATGACCACTCCTGGCAGAGTTGTGATCATTTGAAGTCCGATTGCAGATCCACATTGTCCCTCCAGTCTCCGAAAGCCGTAGATATACAAACGATAATGGAGCCGTCATCCATCTCATTCCTTCAAGATATCGACAGCGTGGTAGGGAATTCTGCATTTGAGGCCGTCATACCTTGGCAATTTGGCAAAATTGTAGGCGTCAGAGCTCGCTGTCACGCCCACAAGGTGTGCCTCAATCATTCGCCTAGCCGTCAGTCGAAAAAGGAACAAGTGGGCTTGTTCGTTGTTACCGTGGAGCACCGAAGAGTTTTCTCTGCCGATTCGGCTCAAGCTCGACAGCTGAAAAAAAAAAAAGGTGGGGGTAGAGAGGGTGACAAACCGGTTTGAAAGAGATAGTCTTCATAGCTCTACGCGAATTATTTGGGATAAGCGAGTGACCTGTAAGATCGAGATAGAAAAAAACAAGGGAGATTAGAGCGCGGTATATCGTATGTATGAATGAAATGGAGCCGGGTCAGAATCAGTACAGGAACGTGTATAGCAGAGACGTCGCAAAGTGAGTGGGCAAATATTTGAAGAAAAAAAAAAAAAAAAAAAAAAAGGGTGTCCAACAGGGACAGGGTGTAAGGTACTTCGTCATAAATTGAAGATAGAACCTTATAATTTCGAAGCCAAGATATCAAGGCCAATCAATCATTCTTGCAAAATTCCCTGAAAATGTATTACCCTAATGCCCCCGATGCCCGGCCGCCTGATATGGGGACCGGGCTGGGACCAGGATGAAGTAGCGTTAACAAACATCACTCAGTATTTTCATGCTCGAAAGGCAGCAAAGGGAAAGACGAGGATGGGAAAATAAAGGAGACGCAAGGCTGACTGGAATACTGTATATACAAGGCGCCTTGAGTCAGACAGTGAACGCTTTCACTCTGCGGTTTTGGCCCCTCTTTCAGTAGACATTCCTCTTCTAATCTAGTGCCGATTCATAGTATGGCTAGATGTTTTCTTTTATCGGGAATACTTGAAGCGAGGAAGGACGTCGTGTCGTCGAGATGAATGTTTTCGTCTCCTGGAGGCGAGAAGGAAGAAGAGGCTTGGACTGCCTCTCACCATGTACCTGACAGCAACATGCGACTCCCGTTTCTGCCATGCTGGTGGTTCCGAATTCAAGGTGTGTCAGAACCCCATGGATATCCTGTAAACCACGCTCTTATTCTCTATGAGAAATACCCCCCGCTGAAGCGGCTTTCAGGAAGTGATCGTCAAAATTTGAACAGCGCACCGCCCCCAAATGCTTTCAACGCCGGCCTGTCTATGTCGCATTGCTTCCCGTATGTAGTCAAAATATCATGCCTTTGTGTGCCCACCTAGTATTTACATTCCTACCTCCAAAAGGGTTCGCGGACTAGTTTTTTATTGCTCAAGGAAAGTAAACAGATTCGTATGCAGGATGTTCATGGCTCGCGTCGCCTCGTATGCGTCTATCACGCACGATATGTTGATCTCGCTGGCGCCTTTGAGGCTGCATTAGCCACTTGCGCCTGAAAAATATCTTGGGAGGGGGCCGTACCTTGTGAGATCATCTCGATATTAACATTGTTTTCTCCCAATGTACTGAACATCCTTCCAGCAATGCCAATCATGTTTTTCATATCGGCCCCGACTAACGACAAGATGGCCATCTTGTGTAAGATGCTGACTTCACCGCATTCTTCTAGATCTTTCTTCGCTTTCTCTAGCTCCTCGTCCGAGATGTTCGCTGAGTGAATGGCCATAGATACATGGACTTCAGATGTCGAAATTAGATCGACGGATAATCGCCGTTGGTCTAAGATACGGAAGACCTTGTTAAAAAACCCGTGGGAGATAGAGCGCTTGTTCGAGTGTACGTTGATGACGGATATTTTGTCCTTGATCGTGACGGCTGTAGGTCTTTTCGGCGTTATCCTCAGAGATACAGAGCTGGCATTTCGAGAACGTAGCAGTTGATTCGAGCTGAGTTTCACGTCTGGCAGGACAATTGTGCCGTTTCCGCGCGGGTTCTTGACGTTCTTGATGCGGATCTGGATCGGGGGCGAGGCGTGCATAACTTGGTCCATGGTAAGGTGGTGTATGACTTCCGAGCCGTAAAAGGTCAATTCTGCGGCTTCTGCGGGCGTGATGCTCTGTAGCAGACGCGCTGTGGGAACCTTTGAAGGGTCGGCAGTAAATATGCCATCGACTTCTTTCCAAACTTGGAGCTCCTCGGCTGACATTCCAACAGCGACGAGACTGGCGCATAGATCCGTATATCCTCTTCCAATCTCGCCATCCATCAATCCACCAGGCACCATTCCGAAATATCCAGTAATGACCGGAACCCTGTCATCGCAAGCCAATACCTTCTCCCTCAGCGCTGCAGAAAGCCCCCTATAAAACTCAAAATTCGTTGCTTTTCCAGCCTTCGAATTCACGACATCGGAGAGATCCACGTATTCCGCCGCAACGCCCCGATCTTGCAGCAAAGCAACCAGGAACCGACAGCTCAATTTTTCCCCAAAACTGACAATACGATCCTTACTCCTGCCATCAATCTCCAAATGCCATCTCTCAGCCGCTTTTCTATAATCCACAATCTCCTTGCACTCCCCTTCTATCTGCTGTATGACGGCCTGTTGTGTCCGGGCGTCTCGAATATGGCTTCGCGCCGCAGCGACGTGGTCTTCGCAGATGACATGTACCAGTCGTTCGTATTCCACCACCAAGCTTTCATAATGTACTGATTCCGCATCTTTGCAAGCATTAATGGCTTCGAGGATTCCGAAGATCTCTAGTAATCTGAGCGACAGCGTCAGAATTGCGCATGAGCATGGCGGGGTAGAGAGGACTCACCGACTCGTAGTCCCCTCAACCTTCTTCCCCGTGCTCCTGGCGGAGCAGACAACCGCAATCTTGTTATCCTTCAGACCCGCCCTGCCAAACCCACTGTCAGCAAATATCTCTCATCTCTCCCCATTTCCTCACAAGCCCATATTGCCCCTTCCGACCTCCCCCCCACCATTTCCTCACTCCTCACTCCTCACTCCTCTCTCCGCTCTCCGCTCAAGAACAAAGCACAACGCACCTCACAATATCCTCTGCAATATTGACGGCGAACTTTCCTACACTGGTTCCCCCAAACTTCTGCACCACCCAATCGCCCTCGCTGTTATTCCTCCATCTCTGCCCCGCCTCGCTCTCCACTGGCGTCGGCTCTGCGCTGCCGTTCACGCGGACTGGTAACGAAGAAGCCATACTTTCAAAGCGAGCGACTGCAAAATTGGTATTAATTTGGCTGGCCAAAGAATGTTTGAGGGCAGAAATGGGCGAGACACTGGACTGTCGACGAAGAGAGGTGGGGAGTTTTTTCGGACTGGGATGCCGAGCACAGGCACTAAGATAAGATAAGGAAGAGGGCCGTGGAATACGGAGTTGAATGGTGTTGTGTACAAGACCGATCGATGGAAAGCTGTAAGATAAAACAAAACTGAAGGCGAGAAGTAGGTAATGCGAAAGACTCTGCAATGATATTCAATGGAATACACCAAACGGTAATACCTAATCTGTTAAGACGGCGCCCTGCCTACTTCTATTAACTCTGAAATGCATGAAGGGCGCAAAGCAGAAGCAGAGTATAATAGAATAAAGCCTAAGAAGTTTCCTGTGCTTTTGAAAGCAGCTACTTTGATTGACGTCGAATAGCTCGAATTAAACTTGCTCTATGGTAATGAAAGCTAAAACAAAAGCAAAACATATTCCACCCACGATATAATGAAATTTACACACGAAGAGTAACAGAGCGCCAAGGTAGCTACATCATAAGGCACGAAAAGATCTTAAAGTAATGACTTGGAATCAACAGTTATGAAAGGTATAATGTGAAGGAGAAGAAGCTCTACTAGGTGCGTTTTCATATCGAATATGCGAATTTCTTCAAGTCATTACCGTCGTTACAAGTTTAAATGAACATTATATCTATAACAGATAAAAGAAAATTACATGAACTTCATTACTGTGAGACTTCAAGCAACGCTCGGAACATAAAGATTGAATGCTTCGTATGTAGCGAATATGTGATATTCTCCAAATGATCCGCTGTGACAGTCAGCTTCTTGTAAAATTCACCTCCCCCGACTCTTAGCGAGCCTGGAGCAGAAGAGGACAGTTGACCGGCTGTTAGCCAAACCTGCGACAATCATAAGGAACCATGCGCCAATAAGGCAAACTGTCGGCTACTCTCAGTCGCACCTGAGAGTAGCCTGAGAGTAGCCGGCTCAGGGTTACAGATTCTAATACACAATACAATTATACCCAACCGCCAGCAATCCATCCAACCTGCAAGTCCACATCACGAAAAACATTACAATTGTATCCCCCCCATAATAACACCCCTACCCAGCCGTGCCTCCCAAATCTACAGCAGTCATTTCGTCGTTCGCGTCGTGAAGAGTTTGCCGGCCAAACTCTGTTGTCCCTAGAGCGAGAAAAAGAAGAAGATTACACCGTACACCGGAGGGGCTGAATAACAAGGGAATCAGACCATTGAGGAATGAGCCATTGAATGATTCATAGTATTGGGCCCGAACTGAGAAATTGTCCGTCCATACTCGAACTTCCCGATGAACTCTTCGTTTGGTGTTCGAATTTCAATGCCACTGTCGTCATGGCTGGTAGCAGCGTTTAATGCGGCCTGGCTCGTAACATCTATCGATCGGGCTGCTACCCTGTTGTCCACATGTCCGTTATCCCTCAGAAACTCGTCACTTCCGCTGCTGTATCTGCTACTCTCATGCTGGTTGACCACCCGAGTGGCAACCGTTTGCTTTGGCTGGCTTCGAGTGGACCTAGTGGTCTTGAATTCCATGAATCCACCTTGCTCGGCCATGAACGCAATCATCTCGTCAATCCAGCACTTCGTTACCCACCATGCGCCGAAACTCTTCCCCTGTGCAATCGTCAAGTCTCTCATAACAGCAGTCCCGACTCTTTGCACACACCAAACAATCTCAGCATGCGTAGCGTAAGAAAATTTTGACGGGAGAGCTTGAAGGAAGTTAACCCAGCGGTCCAAGACGTTCTCTGTTGAAGAATCGGCATGAATGCTAGCTTGCTGTTGACGACCGGTGCGTAGAGCCATCTCCCCATAAGGCGTAAGTCCCTCAACCTCCCAAGGAACGCCAACGGGATCAAGAAGATCACGAAGCTCGGATAACAGTAGCGTAACGACATCGTCCATTCCCCTTGTTGGCACACATTCGGCAACCTTCCGTGTTCGGACCATTGTGATCCAATCTTCGTACATTTGATCTCGATTGGCCGGGTTGGACAGCATGTTTGCTGCAGCATGTGCAGTCAAGTTGACCCTCAGTTCACGGTCCAATAATCCCGCGAAAAGCGTTGCTGGTGCAACCTTGGCGTCGATGACATGACCTGGGTGACCGTGGAAAGAGGTTTGAATATGAGAGACCAGCCGCTCGGAAATGTTTCGCAAAGTATCCAGGACTGGTTTTGGCGCGACTTGGAGAGTCAGAGGGGCCACAACTCGCATCATCTTTTGGTACATGACAAAGTCGCATTCTTCGATCCAAGGGGCAATGCCGGGGTTGGCGAACAGTTTCTGGACAGGCATGGTGAGAGTACCGTGGAACGACGTGAACAAATGGAAGAATGTCTTCTCCTTGCAGAACCGCAGAGCATCGACGAGAGATGTGCAGTGAGACCGATAGAGCGCGGTCAATGCACTCGCAGAATCTGGATCAGTACCGACGGGAACATGCTGTTCAATCTTGGGCAGCGTGATTGGCTCGTATTCTTGATTCAGTGGCTCGCTTGCGGGAGCAAAACGAAGTCGCTGAGACATCTTGCTGGACGTAGCTTCAAGTTGAGGTATTCCATGAATTTCGGGCTGGTGGTACAGACTATGAGGCCTCGTGAAGCCTTCCGATCGTTCTGTCTTCAGTTCCGGAGCTTGGATTACATCAGGGGATGGGAAAACTGCTCTGTCAATAGGATACTGGGCGTTCATGCTTTGACTAAGGAAGTCAGCGGAAACCCCACAACTGAACACTGAGGAAGCATACTTGAAGCTTGTTGCAAAGCTAGGCGTCTCATTGAACGATTGCTGGACTGACTGTGACCTCTGTGTTTCAGTCAACTCCGGCTGATCGTCTTTGAGGCTGAAATTCACGTAGTGATATTTCGACTCGCCTCGAACGCCGAGTCTCCTTGTTTTGAGTCCGGGGAACAACACGCGAACAAGTTTACCGAAAGAAGCAGGGTTGAGAACAGTCACTCGTTCAGTTGCACACCTCGACACATAGTTTGCATAAACTCTTCCTCTGGGCACGGAGCCTTTCCCTTTGTCACAGACCTGGTTGATCCTATATGGGCACACATGTCAGTTTGCTTTATTACCGGACCAGGCAATGGAAGCGTACCAGAGCATAGCAAATACTTGTCGCTGTCTCTCGGATTGTGGCCCTCGCTCATTTCCGTGAAGTTCCGTGGCAATCTCTGGCAAGCTGCGATGCTTATTTGCCTGGAACAATTGTCTCATCTCCAACTCATTGGCAGCACTCGATTTCGACGATTTTTTTGCGTTTCCGCTCACCATCGATTCTGCCTCGTCTTGCTCATCGCTTCGCGCTTCCATCAATTGGTTGTCTCCTTCTCCATAATTTCCTCCGTAGACGTCTGCCGGCATAGACTGGCGACCATGTTCGGGCTTGTATGGCTGGTCTTGGGGATACGCTAGAGGAAGATGGTGATTTACCCCCCCAAGGGTCGGATCTATATCGTAGCCTCGAGGATTTTGAAGTTGGGATGCCGAGTGTATAACCATGTCCTCCGCAGTCATCTGGTGGCTCATGCTTCCATACCGTTGGTGATGCGCGTGGGCATTGGCCTGCTGCTCATACCACTGCTTGTGGTATTCGGCAGGATCGGCGAGTTGCTGTTCGAGTATCGGCTGGCTATGTATACTGGTCGTGGAGGCCCGCGAAAGGGGTCGTCTTCTGCCTTTGCTGGACGCAGCTGTATTCGACCGAGATCGAGGCATCGGGATCCTGTTGTTGTCTAGAGATGGGTGATCTGGAGGGTGTGACGCAATTAGCAACTGTACCATCTCGCACCATAGAGCGCCGAGATAATTTTATCTATTGCAGACGTTGAAGGGGAATTCCTCACCCATCATGTCCATAAGGACCGAGTAAGATTATTTCGATCGGGTCCGGAGGGGTGTGGCTGGGACGCTGTCTCTTTTTTTTTGTGTGTTTTTTTGTTGTTTTTTTTGCGACCGAAGCGGGAGGGAGGCTCTTGCCCGGGTTTGAAGGATCCAGAAATCGCGTTGAACGAGCGGCCCTATCAATTAATATGGATTCCGGATTCTCCCTGCTGGTGGGCGGCGGTTGTTGTCGTCGGTGTTGTTGATGAGATTGTTTACGTTCACCTCCCGCATGTTGTTCGCAGGGAAACCTTTACCCGGCTGGTGGTAAAAGCGGCACTACATGAGCGACCCGCGAACACTGTATACTGCTGACACTCGAAGCTAACTACCGTCCGGCAGGCATTGAATATAAACGCAAACTACATAGGAAGATAGATATCTAGCTCGAATCTCGTATGACCGAGTTTTCACTTTCCTCGAGCGCTTTCACCCTCAGTTGTGATCTGATAAAAGTTCTTTTCTAGAAGGCCTTCTATCTAGTGCCGCTTTCTGTCTCGCCTCGAGTCCGGGCATTCTTCGTCTCGGAATCAATCAATGAATGACCAGACGGGTCATGCGTTAGGAAGTTGATTTTTGTATGTAGAAACTATCTCGAGCATCTGGACCGATGATAATACGTGCTCTTCACTTCTAGAACCAGAAGATGCAGCACTCAACTAATCATAAGAACAGAAAGCCCCCCTCGAGTAGAGTAGGTATTCATTCATGTTCATGGAGAGACAGCTAGCCCGACCCACCCCACACACGATGTCGTGGTCGGTATTCAGTTACCCTACATAGATACGGTTTTCAAGGGCTGGAATTCACGTGGACAGGCAGCATTCTGGATTTCGTGGTCTGGAGGGCCTAATTGCAGCCCCGGAGCCTCTTGATTAGCTGTTTAATATTAATAACTCTGCATAGCTGGCGAGTTTTGTTAATATTATCATCATGGACTTGTGACTGAAGGATCACTGATCGGCTTGTCCGCCGAGACAAAGCTGCGCTACACAACGTTTAGCGTGGACCACAATTCGTCATTTTCATTTCTCCCTTTCCCTCGCTCCTTCACCTCCCTCGGGCACACAACCTCCATTATCATCAATCAAACATCACCATTATCATCAATCATCAATCAACATCACCATTATTTTGCAGTCTGCTTTCCACAGCCCACCTGCAAATAACCGCACCACCGCAACTGGAAACTCCATCCGACTTTCGCATCCCGCACTCTCTTCCTCTGTCAACATGTCCTTCCAAGAAAAGGCTCAGGCCCATATCTCCCTCATCGATAAGGAGGTCAGTTCTCTCCAGCGCATGCGCACAGCACAGGGGCAGGGGCTGGGCTCGCGCCCAGATCTGCTGTATCCAAAGAACTACCTGCTAACAAGTCTTTCTGCAGCTTTCCAAGTACGAAGTCTTAAATAACCTGGAGAAGCAGACCTCGATCCCAAAGACCTATGCCTTCCTCGGCGCCGTCGCAACCTACTTCTTCTTCATCTTCTTCAACATCGGTGGCCAACTCCTTACCAATGTTGCTGGTTTCGTCATCCCAGGTTACTATTCTCTCGAGGCTCTGTTCAGCATGGGAAAGAGCGATGATACCCAATGGCTCACTGTATGGTCCCTGAATACCCGCTGTGAGAGCTCTACTAACTGGATAATCACAGTACTGGGTTGTCTTTGCGTTCTTCACCGTCTTTGAGAGCTTGGTAAACGCCGTCTACTGGTTCCCGTTCTACTTCACCTTCAAATTCATCTTCGTTCTCTGGCTCGCGCTCCCGGCTACTGGGTAAACTCACCCTCTCCCCGAATTCCGAATGCTGCTGACAAAGCTTCTAGCGGTGCCCATATCGTCTTCCGGTCGTTCATCCAACCCGTCTTTGCCCGCTACTTTTCCGGACCTGGAGCCACTGCAGCCAATCTTCGCTCGAAGATTGACGACAAGAGCTTGTAAGCGGCTCTCTTTGATGAGCTCCCGACACTGCTGAAGTAAAGTAACCCCACATCCTCGATCGACTAGAAGAGGGGTACGTAACGAAACTTGACGGATGGGAAAGCAGGGATGATGGGAATGGAACAGTACATGAGAGAGGGTATGGTCCTGGCAAGCTGATGGGAATTAACGAGGCAATAATAAACTTTGGGCTCCTGGAACGAATTTCCTGCAGGGGTGCTAGAATATTTTCGTTGATTCTATATACTGAGGTGGTGGGTGGACGAATGAGCGATTTTGAAATGATTCTTTGAGAGTGAATGTGTACTAAGCTGCAGGTGACCTTGGATATAAACATAACTACCCAGGAAATGGCAACACTATTTAGTATCGTTTTCAGCCAACGTCATTAGAAGTACTTAAAGAATGAAACATGCCATTAGAATCGATGTACTGTCAAGTCACTATTGAAATATGCCTACAGCTCCTTGTGTGGGCAATATTCCGGGTCTAAAAGGGCAACTTGAATGCTACTATGCTAGAGAATTGGCCCACGATGAAGCTCTCCCATTTTCACATGTCTCTCCGTACTCTAGCTCGAGTGTGGTTTGATTTGTACTAGCCGAAGAGACTAGACCAATGCTAAAAATAAAACATCACCGGCAACCCCAAGGGGTCAGTTTCCTAACGCCAAAAGCCGCAAACAACAACCTACCAACAACATACCAACACCAGGACCAATCTCTGGAAGACACCGAAACCATGATTTGCGTCCTTTGATACCAGATCGCCGAGAAATATCTGCTTCGACACTCTTGTTCTGCGCCGCAAACCTAAGGTCCCATGGGATGCGCCGCTGAACCTCATGCCCCTCCCCAAGCTCACTCCGCTTCAGTCGCGACTCGCGGCATCGCTATTCGGATCCATGATGTTGCTCCTATTGTACTTGCTGCTCACAGCGCCCAATTTTGCATACGCCACCGAGGTCGATTCGACACGACCGGAAGATCACAACCATGAGAGATTAATGGACTTCCCGCTCCTGGATGATTACCATGAGCTGGAATCGAAAGAAGTTGTCTATGAAGCGAATTTCTTCGGGGTGGATAGCATGATCCTACCAAGAAACACGGCGCCGACAGCTTTGCTCAATAATCGGGTCGAGGCGACGAATGTGCAGTTGGGACAAAGCTTCTATTATGTGTTTGCAAATGCTTCGGTATGGGGGGAGAAGTCTCCAGCGACACCGGGCCTACCATCCGAGATAATACTGGACAATAGGCGGCTAAGGAGGTCGGTGAAGGGAGTCTCGGAAGAGGGGGCAGACGCTGACGAAGGGAGTGAGCTCAGAAAACGGCAAACGACTGTGGAAAATTACAGGACTGTATATATCACAGTGACTACCTGTGATCAACCAACCTCGAATACAACCACTGATCCTGCACCTCAGCTCCAACTATACGTTTCCCAGTTTGCGAATAATACAAATCCCGGGCCAGGAAAACCATCAGCTCTCCAGGATCTGGTACAGCTAGAGGGAGGGTACGCTTTGCATGAAGTAAACGCTACGGGAGATGTCTATATCAGCATATACGCTCAAAATGCCACAGCGTACAATGAAAATGTCTACAGTGCTCATATAGCTGCTTCAATCGATGCACCATATCACAAGTACTGGAATAGCTCAGACCCGAACCTATTCCTCGTCGATAGTGACGACTACTCCGCTCTCTTGTTTACAGATCCGTTTATCACCAACTCGACTAACACTACGCTGTTTGAAGAGTGGATGGATCAGCCTCCGCCATATGTCATCTTTGCCAGCGATGCAAATGATACCTTGACGGTAGGACTAGAGAGATCATACTGTGGTCTGAAGCGGAAATCGTCGATCCAAGCCTCTTTGCCCGGACAGACAGCCGGTACAATAGTGACTGGTATGACTGCAGTTGGAAACCAATCTCTCCCAAAACAGTCGTTTTTTGTGAACGGATTGGGAGCTGGCAAGACCTACAAAGTGTCTTTGGCAATGGACGGAAATTCCACAGCTTCAGGTACCGGTGTCGTAGGAGGAGGGGGTCAGGTCTTTGCCCAAACTAGCTTCGACATGCTCTCAGGTTTGACCTCCACTTTTGATGGGAAACTCGTAAGCTAATGCTTTAAAGGTGGCAATTGTGCTGTGATACACAAATTATCTTTCTGTGATCAAACAGCCTACTCGGTACCTTCAAATCCCAACGTCTTTCCCAACATGAGCGCACTCGCCGCTTTCTACGACAACGCAACCCAAGCCAGCTTCGCCAACTTTGAAAAGGTGCTCGCTCAGATTCCTTGCGAAACAACATCTACTGCGCAGTACTCGCTTGCAAGGAATTGTGCCGATTGCCGCGAAGCGTACAAAACTTGGCTGTGCGCGGTGAGTATCCCACGATGTACGGACTTCACCAAGGAAAAGGACTGGCTCCAAGCTCGAGCTATGGGCCAGCCTTTCCCCAACGGCACCCTCCTCCCTGAAGCGGACAGGGCACTTGCAAATATAACGGCTGGCGTCAACGCGTCTCGAAATTCTCGTATCGATGATCTTCTGGTTCCGGGCCCGTACAAAGAGGTCTTGCCGTGCGATGAGTTATGCTTCAATCTTGTGCGGAGCTGTCCTGCATCGATGGGTTTCGGGTGTCCGCAATTTGGGGACATTGGGTTTAACGAAAGCTACGGCGTCAAGCCCATGTTCCCTGGAGATGCGAGTGGACGTATCTCAAACATTACGTGTAATTCTCCTGGCACAATCTACTACCTCTCGGCTGGCCGACAGGGACTGTCATCGATGGTGTTCACGATTGCGAGCGCCATGGTAGCAGGAATTTTGTTTATATGAGAGGGGACCTGGGTAGGGTGTAGATAGATGATGGGATGATGGGATGATGGTTTTGCACGGCGTAGGGGTTGAGCGGGCGTTTGTGTCAATCACGGGGGTCTTTGGTTACTAGAGAGACCGACACAGGCAATATTGGGCCAGCACGGACTCGCTGTATGTGGGCTTCAGCGGGCTACCAGTTGGACCAGATAATGCGGGCAGATAGATGTACATACAGTATAGCTAGCTACCTAGATGGCGAAGAAGGGACACAGAACAAGAGCAAGAGCGCAACGCGCATCATAATTGTACATTGTCAAACGGTCGATTATTTCCTATGCCTCGAAGAAAGTGGAGTTGTTTTTCCTATGCCTCAACCTACTTTTTGAGTGGGCCGCTCAGCCAAATCTACTCGCTGCTTTATACAAGAACATTTTTTAGTAATGCCGCTTATACTAGAATTCTATATGATTGCAATTCTAGTATTATTATCGCGATTTGTTTAGCTATAATAGCGGAAATCTTTATTATCGACGCTACTTTAGATGCTTTATTAGAATCTTTAAACGCTATATTCAACGACCACGGCTTCGATATACTCGATTTTAATATAGATACAGATCTATTTCTTAAAGCTTTTCAAGAGAAACTTGTTTCAATTTAGCAAAGCGATGTATTTTATAATCTGAAAGCTTTTAAAGACGTATACTTAATTAGGTTATTCTACGAGCGATAAGAGGCTAAGTGTCCGAATAGCGAGAAGACTTATATGAGATACGTATCGGTATGCTACTTTAACGATACATACAAATAGCGCGCTCGTTGCAACTATTATATCCTTCGAACTAAGGAAGCTACGGTATCGGTATAATAGAAGAAACGTATCGATATAGAAAATATTCTTGCATAGAGCAGCAAGTAGATTTGGCTGGGCGGCCCATTCAAAAAGTGGGTTGAGGCATAGGAAAAACAACTCCACTTTCTTCGAGGCATAGGAAATAATCGACCTTGTCAAACTTCTATCGGCCCGAAAACGGAGAGCTGAGATCGTGCTTAAATAGCTACCTAATAACGGCCCGTTCGCTTACTAATATAAGTTCTCGAATACGGTGTTCAATTCGAGGATGGCTAAGGGACGGCCGAGGGACGGTCCCCAAACGCTCGGAAAAGACGATTTCAATCGATGAAATCGGTTCCATTTTAGCAATAGTTTAAATTTTCAATTGATCTAATTATAAGTTTGATTCTAATAGACCTAGAGTGATCCACCAGCTATGTCAATCTCTTGGGACCATCTCTAAAAGAGGTCGTTATCGGATAATTAGCTGACTGTCCAACAGCTCCAGCATTCCCCTTCCAGGTAATCGTCGCGCACAGGTCGGTATTTCTACAATAATACTCAAGGTCGCCGCCTACTTTAGGGAAGGGCTCCTAAAGTTGTGACGTCAAGTCCTACTATTATTACGCGGAGCTAATAATCTAAACACGGTAGTAAACTCACCTACTACTATTCTGTCGGCTTCTGAAAAATTCATGGTATTGTGTTGTCAAAGCGGATGTTGACAAGATGAACGATATAAGCAAAGTATGGATCCCAGAATCATACGAGGAAAACCCTTTGATTGGTGAAAAACGGCGAATGAAGTTATGGGACGGAGAAGGAGAGGCTATTACGAAGTACGTCGATTCAATGGAGTTAGACCCGAAGAAAGCATTGCGCTTTTCAAACAACTTGGAAGACCTTGACACGCTGCAGATGACTACCGGTATTCCTGCTGATGGCGTATCTGGGCGAAAACACCCCTGATTGGACGAGTTGGGAAATTGCTGGAGCTCTTTGATAACATGATCAGAAGGGAAGTGGCTCGTTGATTGTCTATTAGTTGCATATTAGAACTCCTTTCATTAGGACTCATCTTGCTTAAATTCGAGAAATCGACTTTCATGATCGGGATGGTTTTCGACAAGGGGACAGACGCCCTATACTGGCCGCACGAGCAACTCCGTTAGGTGAAGGAAGGTATAAATTATCCCTCCCGCTCGTTTGCCATGTTGTTGCACCCACACCATTGGCGTTCCATGATCCCGACGCACCTGTCCCATGTCGTCCATATGTGTTGGAGGGGCCAAATTTCGTACCGCTAGGTACTCCCCTCCCAACCCACTTCCAAAAAATACATTGGTCTCCTCCATACTCAGTCGCCTCTAAATGCTGATGCATAAAATTTTATTCCGCACTGAAACTCTTCACATTTGACAACTTAAACTTCCCACCACTATAAGCTTTGAAAAGTAAATACAGTAAAAACCATAAACCTTCTGATAACGAGGGATAGTTTATGACTGTAAGACGATTTAATTTTATATTTGGATTTAATGGGGATAGTTAGAGCAGAATTACAGAAAGTTGGCTTTCGCTTAACTCTATAAGAAACCTTTTTTTTTTTAAAAAAAAAAGGGAGCAACTTCAGCTTCATCTTTTGTATCTGGGTTTATTAAATAATCAGATTTAAGATTGACGGTTTAGATTAACTACCTCCCCGAAGACAGAATTAATAAAGACCAGCTAATGTTGATTTTTTTCTTTCTTGAAGTGTTAACCCTTAGTTTTGGTGCGAATAGTTGTTTTATGTTTTAGCAGTTAATTACCTAGTACTGTAACTGTTTATTTTCTGGGTTCGAGCCGAGCAAGGTGAGAGAGGGAGAGAGAGAGAGAGAGAGAGAGGAGGAGGAAAGACAGGGACAGGGGCAGGGGGGGCTGTCAGACGGAACGGGGGGACCAAAGAATCGGAGCGGGAAGACGCTTGATGGGTATCTCCGTGCTTTTATGGAGTACGGTAGGTGAGTCGGTTTGAGAGAGGATCTGACCTGTATCTGCCGGCCGGGCCTGGATGCAGGCTCGGGAGTCGGAAGGGAAGACGAAGGGAACGGGTCGGGGAGAAGGATCGGAGGTGAAGCGAACGGAGATGGGAACGGGGAAGGGGAAAGTAAGCCAGTCAGTCAGTCAGTCAGTCAGTCAGTAAGTCAGTCAGTCAATCAGTCAGTCAGTCAGTCAACTCATGATGCGTTGTACAAAATGTAATTTTACTTTTACGGCGGAAGAAGCGAGGAGAAGAGGCCTGCTTTGGGTTGGGTTGGGTTGGGTTGGATTCGGCGTAGTATAGTGGTTGTCTATAGGTAGTAAAATAAGTTCTAAGGGTAGGGGAGGGGAGGTATACGAAGGTGGTTTTATAGAGAGGTACCTAGGTAGCAGTTCTAAGAAAGGTATGCGGATGTTGTCTGTTGGTTGTTGCTGTTGTATGAACAACTGGGGCTTAGTAGAGTAGTGAGTATAAGAATATCTATCTCGCTAAAGGAAAAACTCTTTTCTCCTTCTTTATGCTTTTCTTCCAAGGGGACATGCTTGGGGCGGAAGCTGGAAGGCCAAAGTAAAGATAACCAAAGGGAACAACGCAACCCTCTCTTTCCTCTTTCCTCTTTCCTTTCCCGGCTGGGTGATGCTTGCTTGATTGGTGCATTGGTGCATGTACCGATGGTTTCTGTTGGGATGGAGGTTTGAGATACACCGTCGGCCGTCTTGTGATTGGGGCTGGACGCGTGTTTGGTAAATCGGAGGGACTAGATTAGGTAGACTAGGTAGACTAGGTGGACTAGGTGGACTAGGTAGGCCAGACTAGACTAGACTATATTAGACTAGTCTCGGCGCGTCCTTTTCTTCAACCGTGGCGCCAGGGCGCGAGCACGTGCACCAACACGAACACGATCTCGACCTATCGACCTATCGACCTATCGACCCGTCGACCTCAACCTCATCGGAATGCTTCACATCCAATCGCTGCACCTGCACTTCCAACTTCTCCGGCAAGCACTTAATTCGATTCAATTCGATTCGAACTCAACTCTCATTTCTCCTACTCGCTCTCTATCTGCCAACCTTACGATCCAAAACCAACCTGGACATCTGGATCTCGGAAACATCCATCATCCATCCATCATTCTTTTCTTTTTTCCCTGCTGTGCGCCCGCCAAGCTCGACCGACCATCCTTCCCCGCTGATCCGCTGTACGGCATCTCTTACTACGAAGTAGTTTCCGTACTCTAATCGCTGGTTAGTCCTGTCTTCCCTATCTCACTACTGCTCGACGATCTCATACCCATCATACTGTACTATCCGCCCGCCACACCGGTCCATTGCATCACTTTCCGCCCTTCCCTCAGCTCTGGCATTCAACCCCCCTCTACCTCTAGGTACCTCTACCTCAATCTCATTCTCAATCTCGGTCCCAACCTCAACCTCAACCTCAACCTCACCCTCAACTTCACCTACTATCAATCGCATCGACTCACGACTGCGACGCGAACTACTTCGCCGAGCCGATATCGCGAGATGAGATCCAAGTCTTAATGAGCCTTATCGACATCGACACGGACTCCTGACGCCGTCACCCCCTTGCTTCCTCCTGCTAAACCTGGAATCCACCGCAATCTCGCTCCGTCATCCATCTACGATCCTGACCAGCGCACATCCGCCTTGTCCTGCACCTACTTCAGCACAATAGATCAAAGATAGACTGACTTTCCGATTCGCCCAGACGCAGACGCAGACGCAGACGCAGACGCCTATCACGGCTTGCTTTCAACGATATCTATACCTCAAGCATCCACACATGGTGTATCCGCTGAAACTGCCTCGACATTCCACCGTGACCTCCGCGTCGTCGACCTACGATGTCGTCGACGCGTTATTCGCAGCAACCGCTAAATATCTACCAAGATCCGGCCCCCTCCATCGACCGCGCCCCTATGCCCTCTGAACCAAATTTCAACAACACCAAGAAGCCGTCGCCTTTTCGACCGATCAAAAATTCTGCATCGAGGAGGAATAACATTTTCAATCCGCCCCATGCTGGTCGTAGCAAGCAGTCCCCTCTGAAGTTGGCCCACCAGACATCCAGCTCTCCCTCAAGAGCCCCCTTTGGTAATGAGCTGAACTCGGTATCAATGCCACCCCCTGGAGGAGCAAAGCTCGATACGGATTCGATGGAGAAAAAGCAACCGGTCGTCTCGAACTTCAGGCAGAGAAGCATGTTCTTCAATTTCTCGAACAACGCCTCGGTGGACCAGGAGAACTATCCGCAGAACCCGTTCCACCCAACAGCACCCTCTTACGACGATATGTCTCGATCGAACTTTTCGCTGGCAGGCGGTTTGTATGGCGAACGACCGGTAAAGCGCAAACTGTTGGACTCAGCCCCGATCCACGAATCTAGACCATTCAAACATGTCAAGAGTGAACAGAGCCAGAGCCAGGAGTCGGAGGAATCTTTGGAACCCGAGGAGCTCCCGGCCCCGGACTCTTTTCCTCCCTTGCACGACGACGGGAACAAGCCGCATCACAGCTACGCTCAGTTGATTGGCATGTCTATCCTCAGAGCAACAAACCGACGACTTACCCTGGCCCAGATCTACAAGTGGATTTCCGATACATATTCCTTCTACAATGCTCAAGAGACCGGATGGCAAAACAGCATTCGTCATAACCTGAGTCTTAACAAGGCGTTCATCAAGCAGGAGAGGCCTAAGGACGATCCAGGAAAGGGAAACTATTGGGCGATTGAGCCCGGAATGGAACACCTATTCATCAAGGAGAGGATACCCAAGAAACCTGCTGGACCCAACGAGAATGTCCCCGTGCTCTCGACCAACTTGAGTCCAGCCAACCTCCCCGAGACTGCTCTGTTCAAAGCTCCTCCGCCACCCGCGCGAACACCTGAACTTCCTCCCTCTCAATCAAAATGCCAAATTTCTGAAAATCTACCTACCATCCAGGAGCTCTCCTCCGATGCTACCATTCCCTGTTCCGACGCCTGCAATACGGAGCCAGAGAACAATGTCGAGACTGAGGTCCCATCTTCGCCTCTCATCCAATCTTCGCCGCCGATGGCTGCAATGCATTCATCCCCTCCCGTTGCTCGACAAACTCAAAAACGCAATGATACCCCACCACCAGTCCCTCGCTTTTCATCATCCTCCGAGACTCACTCGCACAAACGCAAGCACGCGTCAATGGACGACAGTGGATACTTCTCGTCTCTTGAATCATCAGCCCTTCGTGGCCCTCGCCGATTGCTTACCTCAGAAGCAGACCGCCCAATTATCAAGCGCGGTCGTGCGGAAGAGGAGATTGCTCGTCTCCGTGGCTCTTCGTGTGATGTCCCTACCAAGGGTCGTGCACTCTTCGCTCCTGCATCATCATCGCCTATGCGCCTGAGTGCTGCCAAGAATGAACTCTCTCAGATGCTACCACCTCTTACGCCTGCTGTGAAGCTGAAGGCTCCCGTGCGACCTCCTCCATCTGCCTCGCCAAACACCAATCTCCGCCTTCACCGAGACAAGGTTCGTGAGATGGTTGGCTCGCCCCTCCGTGGAATGACGGTTCTCGATGAGAACCACGCTCCTTGGAGTCCTGCCTTCAACCTCAACGACTCGAGCTGCATGTACCAGGACTTTAGTACCAATTTTGATATCTTCACTGATGATTCACCGGACGTGTTCGGCCTCGGTAATGGCTCCCCCGAAAAGAGATCAGCCAAGCGACCTCGCTTAGACCGATCGAGATCTGCAAACATTCTAGCAGATATCTCAAACTTCAGCCCTAACAAGAGACTCGCCTCCACTCCGCTCCGCAAGTTCACGCCCAGCTTGAACAACTTCGGCTCGCCTCTGAAGGGCAGTGGACTCTTGGAATCTCCAAGCAGAATGATGTCACCAAGCAAGCTCCTGGGGCTCGATTCTCCCAACAAGATTGCACGCCCCAACTTCAATCTCGCCACCTTTGACCTCCCCCAGGACGACTTTTTCAGCTCCGAATTCCTCTCCGAAGAGCTGAACCAGGGATGGGATATCATGCAAGGCTTTCAGAAGATCGGCTCGGGTGGTGATAATTCAGTCCCATTAGGCAAGCGATCGCCGAAAGCTCGACCAGGCTTAGGACGGAACTTCACGTCTCGCTTCTAGACGAAGTATGATGATTTATCACGAATTCTTTTTGTCAATCGAAGAATCCTGCGTGATGGAGTTAAAAACTTGATGAATTACGAAATTATGAATTGGCACAAGTGGCGCTGCTTTACTACTAGGCAACGTGGCTTGGGTGTATGGGGATAGGATAGGATAGGATACGATTGGACGCATTTTGCATTACTCGCAGAAACTGAATTCAGGATGGAAACGGTTGAAGGGGGAATTCACCGCCTTATGGCTAGCGTCTACATCTGTCGATGATAATGATGTTGGATTTAGTCGTTTGTTTGGGGTACATATTTTCTGGCTTGCCTTTTTCTATTTGCCTTTTTACATGGCCGGATGGGGGTTTTTCCGGCGCATGTGTTTCCTTGAGTCGCCCCTTTTCTTCGGTAGCGTTTGCTTTTTCTATGCCGCTTTCTGATCTGTGCTCGGGTTATGGGCTGGAGAGGGCGTCTCTGAATTCATGCTGTAGCGGGTATCAATTGCACGGCGAAACTTGGGTCTTTTTCTTACTAGGCACGACAAGACGATTGTCGCTGCTCTTATCAACTTTTAACTGATAATCAGGCAATGGATGGCGGGAGAGAACCAATGGAAAGAATGGGATTGATAACTGTTAAATCCATCCCGTGATGCTTCTGCGTACGTTTCTGTGAAGATGTGAAAAGGGATTCTATTCTTGGCGACTTGTACCTGTCAAACTAGGTGTGGTTATCATGTTTCGCATTGCTATGCTGTGCTGTAAGGCTACGTTGAAGAAAGGCCTTCTTGAGTCGCTCTTGAAAGCATGTCTCCTATCCGATATTACGATCGATCTCTCATACTTACTTATATCCAGGAGCAAGCAAGCAAGCCAAGCCAGGGAAGGCAGAAGAGGTAGGTTGTTGTAGGTAGGTTTAACGGGGGCTAAGCTAAGCTAAGCGAAGCGAAGCGAAGCGAAGCGAAGCGAAGCGAAAACGAAGCGAAAACGAAAACGCAAATCCGGTATACACGTACATACGTACGTCTGTGTTTACTTCCTTACTTTGCTTTTGCTTACGTATTATACCTCTTCTCTTCTCTTCTCTTCTCCTTTTTTCTTCTTCACTTTCTTCCTTTTTTTCTTCTTTCCTTTTTCTTCTTCTTTTTTCCCTTTTCTTCTCTCGTGTGAATTTGAAGGGGGGGTCTGGATTGGGATTTGGATTTTGGATTTGGATTTGGATTTGGATTTGGATTTGGATTTGGATTTGGATTTGGATTTGGATCTAGATCTGGATCTGGATCTGGATCTGGATCTGGATCTGGATCTGGATCTGGATCTGGATCTGGATCTGGATCTGGATCTGATTCTGGATCTGGATTCGGATTTGGATTTGGATTTGGATTTGGATTTGGATTTGGATGGGGGACATGGAAAGGGGGTTTCGCGCCTTTTTTCGCTTAGATTTTTCGCTTGGATGAAGAAAGTAGCGGGGGGTAGTGAGTGTGGTGAGTTGGCTAGTTGGGTGTGGATTAGGTGGATGGATGGAGGGGAGTGAGGGGGAGGGGAGGAGTGGAATGGGGGTAAGTGAAAGTGAAATGATATGTGTGAATGGATGGATGGATGGATGGATGGAGTGTTGCTTTGCTGAGGCTGGGATTGGGATTGGGATTGGGTTTGGGTTTGGGCTGGGCTGGGCTGGTTGAGTTTGGTTTGGGTATTAAGAAATGTACTAGTATTATGTGTGTGTGCATGCGTACAGGTTCTTTTTGCATTCTTCTCGCGGTAGTATGATCGAACTTACTTATGTGCCCTGTGCCACACGAATTCCGCTAAGGCTATTATCACCAAAAAAAAAAGGAACCTGCAGTATTGCAACTTGAATTGGTTTAACAACGCAGCGTCTGACCAAAGTCGTCTTTCTTGCGTAGTACAATTGTGTCTATTGTATAGGCTAATATCTTATTACTCTAGCACGTAAATGTAGCGGGTATTCCAAATCTCAAAGTCTGTCGGCTTACCAATTATACAAAGTGATGTGATTTTATACCATTCGACTCGACTCACTACCCCAGGCAGGATGATCCCATCTGCATTCAGGTATTTCAGAAGATATACACCCCCTCTTCTGATTTTTCCTGATATTTGGATTACTTTGAACGCAGATCAGCTTGGTATCATGACTTAAGGACAAAGGAGAGAGAGGGACGACGAGCTCCTACCCCAGTGCCAGCAGCTCCTACCAGTTTGAATACAAAACCATGAAAACGCCGCCTCAGAGGGAAAACTCTCTTTATTCGAAAAGGGTTCGTCCGGGAGCTGTTTTCCATCTTGGACTCTCAAAAGACAGGCAGACAAGAGCCCAGCGTAGAAGAAAAACGAATTGGAAATTAAATTGCGATGCTACAATACAAATTTTCAAAGCTCCATCCATCCTGCTAGTGCTATCCACAGAGAAAGAGGCTACTAGCTTGCTTGAACTTTGGCCTCGAATAAATCCGAAAGGCTTCTTACCAAGTATGCGATCTTACCTACTCGCCAGTTGCCTGAGTAGGTATCAGTTTGAATTTGAAAAATTCGCCGCCTTGTCCTACGTAGCAAGTCGGAACCACCAACCCGGGCATAAGGAGCCATCCACGTGATTAATCAATAGCTTATAACTATCAACACATTTTTTAAAAAAAAAATTTAAGAAAAGAATCTTTGTGTTAAGTAAATACCAATCCATTTTCGAATCTCTTGGTGGAAATTCTTACTTAATATTACAAGGATAGCTATAAGATGAAAATGTCGTGGAAAAACCAACTCGAATTTCGCTTAAGGTAAATAAATCTATAAGGTAATCAATTAATTTCACGATCTATCCGTAGCTCCGTAGAGTATATTCGTGTTAGCAACCATTACCTACCCCGATCCGATCGTGAAAAAGAAAATTACATGTATACGCAAGTCTTAATCGCTATTCATAACCTTGCCGGACGAAAATTTATTTTTGAAATGTAAATTGGTAGGTAGTGCCAAAAGAGTGCGGGCTCCTATTATACCGGTAGTTCAACAAATCTGATGTTCCTCGCTTATTGTGATATATCCACGGCTATGGCTAGGTATTTTGATATGTGCGCCTCTTTTATGAACACTACCGAAGTCCATGCTCGATCGGATTCAAGCCTTGTCTTTTAAACCTCTAGCTTTCTTTTATTTTTTGCTCATGACTATACTACGTATATCTTTCATACGGACGTGCGGAGGCAAATGAATGAATTCCGCAAATTGATTCGCGCAAGCGATTTCTACGAGCCAAAAATAAATCCAGTCTTGACGGTTAAGAGCCTTCCTTCTTTACTAGCGCGGGCCAAAAAACAAAGCGAAAACAGATACGAAGAAGACATATTGATTTTTCGCATCCTTCCTTATTCCTTCTTGCTTTGCAGCCTTTATAAATAAACCGTGAGTGTTAAGGATGTGCTGTAATATTGATCAGACTACGCGTAAATCGAATTCGCGACGGAGATGAGGTTCGGAGGATAAGGTGGGTTGGATTTACGTAGTATTAGCAACCAATCCATTACGTGGACGGACTGACTCCTTCGTGTCCGGCTCGCTCTTCTACGGACGCATGTCCGGGTTAGCGGTCCAGACTCTGCGAGGACAAGTCCGGAAATCCCTTTTCAAAAATAAAATGCTTACCTACTCGGGGCAACCCGTCGCGTACCTACCTACTCGTCGCCTATGTCACCTGAAGAAAAATAATCCTCGTAGGTAGAAATCTGGATCCGACTTGCCCTTACCTACCGGTACACCGAACCCCACCACCAAAGCAAACAAAGCCCGGGCCACCCCCACACCTAACCTTTTTCCGCCTTGATAGAGATACCACGGTACAGGCCTAAGTATTACCCCTCGAGGGTGCCTCAAAAGTCTAGTTTCCACTTTAAAACCCCTGGTTATCCTACCCTCGAGGGGTAATACTTACGCCTGCGACGTAGTATAAAATCGAATATAGTATAAAAAATCAACCCCCCCGCCTTCATCGTTATCGCATCGTTAATTAATTTTTCTACTCTAAAAAGAATGCACCCACCGTATCGATCTTGGATTCTAGTAACTATAGATAACCAACAAATACAAAATCCCAATCATACGTAAATCATTGCTTTGAGTTGACGAAGGTAATAAAAAAAAATTATTTTTTGGGGGCTTTTTTGTATATTATAGACATATACGTCCGTCCGCCACCTATTCCGTAGGACTAGCTTAGCTTAGCTTATTAGCGTGGTGTACGTGTCCAAGGCCGAAAAAAGAATACGGACGAAAAACGGGAGGGACTTTTTTCTTTTTTTTAAAAAAAAAATTATAATAAATAAATTGATTATATCTCTACATCGTAGTCATTGGTTAATCGTTGGTTACCTTAATTTTAATTCGAAAGGATTGACCGGCTTGCTATATCAAGTCAGCACCACCAAAGCGGGACAGTAAAATTTGCTCTTTTATAATAAACAGAAAATCTACTAACTAATACATCGCAATTATTTCTATATAAAAAGCTGCATTATATTATATGTAATATCAGCTAATCAACCAAATTTGATTTACAAATTGTCAATCCTTTATCACGCTAAATTAAAGTAATAAGAATAGCACTTTGAGTGTACTTTTGTTATACGTTTCGACCTTACTAATGCATATAAACGTCGGCTATCTTAATTTAATTCCAAAGGATTGACCGGCTTGCTACAAGTATATCAAGTCGGCATCACCAAGGCGGGACAGTAATATTTGCTCTTCTATAATGAATAAAAAACCAGTCAACTACTACCTTCCAGGCGTAATTATTACCCCTTGAGGGTAGGGTCTTCCAAGGGTCTATCGTGGAAATTAAACTTTCGAGGCACCTTCAAAGGGTAACAATTACGCTAGTACCGTGGTATTAATTACATCGTAAGTATTTTTATATAAAAAGATGCACCGTACTGAATTTCACGTCAATCAATCAACTAATAAAATTTGAATTATAAATTGCCATTCCTTT